TGTTGAGTTTTTTTTTTTTTTTTTTTTTTTTTTTTTTGCATTTTTTTCACATAAAATAAGGGAGTATTGTTTGATCATAAAATCTCTCATTTTCTATCCCCTTCTTTTCTCATTTTAATTTTCATGATTGTTTTATCTTCATTCTTATATAGAATTGAATTATTGATGTACCCCTCTTCTGCCAGACAAGAATTTTGTTGGCCGGTCTTATATTCATTTGAAGTCCTGATTTCTTCTAGACTAATCATAATTTTTTCAAACTAAACATGATTACTAATCTCTTTAGATGAATGTTGCAATAACAAATAGAGAGTACATTGATGCCATTTTTATCTAAACTCTTAGCTTGAGAAATTGAGTTTTGTTTTGATGATTGATTCCTTTGTCCTCTGACTTGATGTCCTTAGAACCTTTGTGAATGGATTTTTCATTGTTCTTATGGCATCCCATTGCCCTCTCTCTCCTTCTCCTCTTGTGCTATTGATGTCCTTTCATTTTTGTGATGATTTTGGTCATGTAAATTCATCTTACTCTAAGCAACTTAGCAATGAAATTATATTATTTAAATTATGGGGGATTTACAATACCTAAACTGAATTTATGTATGGAATACTATATAATGTACATATTAAACACTTACACTTTATTATTTATTCACATAATACTCAATTCTTTCAAATAACATAAAAAATATCACCTTTCTGTTAAATTCACCGGTGCCCTTCCCTGCAACTTCTTCAACTTTTCTTAGTCATTGAGAGCTTTGGGACTATTGTAGATGTTGTTGGTCTTGTTGATGGCCTCCCTTAGTTAGATCTCATTATCAATTTCCTTCTTCTTCAATGTCCTAGTCCTATTGATGGCATTCCCCCTAGCCTGATATTGTCACAACTTCCTTTTCTCTTTTTCTTGATCTATGAATTGCAAATAGTGCTGGTTTTAGATGCCTTTTCTAAAAAATTTCATACATATGTGAAATAGAGTTTACAGAGTAATAGATTAAAGGTCTGTTTGGGGCAACTTTATGTCTGCGTTGTGTTCAGACCATTGTTATAATTATGTTTGAGAAATTATTTTTTGCAGTCAAATCTGATAAAATATGGTGATTGTTAGAAAGCTATCTGATTTTGTTATAAAAAATATGTATAATTATCATCACGACTTTCTAAGAAGTTAATTTTTCCACCACAACTCTATAAATGTATGCCAATAAAATGCTCTTACGAACTGCTAGCCTATGAAGCCCATATTTTTCAAAACTTGTATATTAGCTGCCAAGATAGACCCATCGAGGTTGACCTGTTAAGGTAATTCACCAGCCTCTTCTATCAAAGTGCCAGTTGTCACATACCAGTTGCCAAGTTTGACTTATCCAGGTGATTCATTAGCCATACTTGCCGAAGTGCCACCTGTCACCTTAATCGTACATCTACGTCCATACATGGATCTCTGCCATCAGTGACATCACCATCCTTTGCTAGTGTTTTGTGGACACGCCCCATACTATACAATAGTTATTTAATATTCTTTTTTTGTAACCCAAATGACGAGGGAGAAACCATCTGGGATCATGATAAATAGAGGCTATTCTACCTTTTTGAGGATCTTCTTCTCATCAACCTTTCTTGAGCCACTTTCTTTCTTTCTATCTCTCTCGCTTGTCCTGTGATCTTTCCCAAGAATAAAGAGGGCATGATACAGAGTTTTGACACTTTAGGAACTTGATCAAGGAGTTGATTCGAGTCGGGAAATTGAAGGAGTTCGTGGCCCTATACGCGAACACTCGAAGGCAGGGCATGGCATCCGTTGAAGATGTCGGTAACGAGCCCGATCTAGCGAGATTCATTTACATAGTTGGCGTAGTCTCAATTATCTTTGGAGGAGACAAACCTAAAACCTCACGACGATCTAATCGGAAGCATTTGAAGATAGTAGAAATTCATTCCACTACCCTCAAAAAGATAACCATTCCCGTTCATCCACCTACTACCTTCACATACGCCGATTTGCCCACTGGCAAAAATTCATTTAACGAGTGATCGTAAATTATCAAATTCTGAGTATGCCTGATAAACACTGGCAGGTTCGTTCGTATTTTATTCAAGAAGGTCTTTAAAAAGATGAACATGACGAATGTTTAATTAACACCCACTTCAAACCCACTGTATAGGTTCTCTGGAGAAAAAGAGACTTATAGAGTGATCTCTTGATTGATAACCTGGGGAGAAGGAGAAAGACATTACACTATCTTGGCATACTTTGTGGTGTTGGATGCTCTAACCATGGATAATGTCATCTTTCGTAGGCATGCGCTGAACAAGTTCAAGGTCGTGACCTTCACCTATCATGTAGCTGTAAATTTTTTTGGTGGGGGAGAAATCATCACCGTCTGAGGTGATTTAGTCAAATCCCGAAACTGTTACCTACGATTTGTGGAGAACATACAAGAGGAACTCCTCCAACTCAATGCAAATAAAGGCAGTAACTTGGAAGCCTCTGAAATTTTTGAACAAGTGTATATTTTTTAGGAAGACACCATGCAAAACCCTCCAAATTAGTTATGGCTTTAATAGAGACCAACTAGTAGCGATCCTAAGGGAGCATCGCAACGTGTTCGCTCAAACAACATACGTGATGACTGGAGTAAGCATGGGCATTATCTACCATCAACTTAATATCAAACAAAGATTAAGGCCAATCAAGCAGAAGATGAGACCTCTAGCAACTATATAAGCTGAACCAATTTAGCAGGAGGTCCATAAACTTTTGGATGCAAACTTCATTATAGAAGTACAATACTCGGATTAGCTAACAAATATTGTGATGGTTCGAAAAGACAATATGTGGAGAATATTTATCGACTTCACCAGTTTAAACTCAGTATATCTTAAAGTAAATCATCTCTTATCAGGGATCGACGCATTAGTTGACTTCACAGTAGGGTATTCAATCATGAATTTCTTGAATGCCTTCTTGGTATACTATCAAATCAAAATGCGTCACGCAGATACAAAGAAATTTGTTTTTATTATCAAGGAAGTGATATATTGTTATAATATAATGTCTTTTGGCTTAGCAAATATTGAGATTATTTATTAACATCTAATAAACATATTTTTTATTAATCAGAAAAAAAAAAAAAAAAACATTGAAGTCTATATTAGTGATATTCTAATTAAAAACAGTTCACTTGTGGAATACATGCAAAACTTAAGAGAAACTTTCGATACTTTGAGAA